CAATGACCCATTCGACAAAACGAAACGAAAAACCATTGGTTAAACAAAAGGTTAATGATCTCCCAAGACAACGAATTAATCATTCCCTCATCATACAGAAATCGACGAAAATTTTCCACTGATATTTCATCAATTATTTATAACATTTTGCGGTTGCTAGTAATAATTCTTTCTACTCGGGATAATTATACTTCATGAAAGGCTGCAACCCGGTGGTATTGAAAACACAGGGAAATTCCACTTCAATTGAAAGAAAAAAAAAAAAAAAAAAGGAACAACCGGTTTTTCAAGACCGGCATTCAAAAACCCCTCATTTTGAATAACTCGGTTGATTTTCTTGGAGGTACAACGGATTTTCTATTTTTCAATAATTTCCTCCCCTCCAGTTGTCGCAATTTCATTTAATTCCAAAAAAATCAGTTGAAAAATAATTAATGCAATTACAATTCGTGCCAGAAATAATCGTGAGGAAGCCATTAAGATTACGCACTGGTGGAGAAAGTCATTTATACACACATATATATACATTGATGAGCTGGCCATTGTGTTGCAATTAATTCATTTCAACTCATCTTCATTTATCTCCCAATTAACTCCTGAACTGTTAAAAATTATCGTCTTAATATCTTTTTTTTATCTTTTATCAGGTCTGACATTACAAAATCCCTCCACATTTTTTAATGTCAAATGAATAATAATAAAAAATAATAAATCACTGGCTGTCACGTCTCTCTCTCTCTCTCTCTCGTTTGGTTTTGGCTTTTAATTTTTTTTAAATAACTTTTCATATTATTCATTTTCTCTTCTGCCTAAATCAAAACCACCGGGATAGAAACCAAAGCCGTCCACTCGTTTTATACACGAATCACAGTGAAAGGAAGTTATATCGTGTACTTGTATGAGTTATGGTTACTTCACCTCCCGTCTGACAGAAACGAGGCCATTTTTATCTCTTTGTCATACTCATTGCCGTATGCACCAACGCGAATCATATTTCCTTTTTTATCCGTGTGATTTTTAAACTTTGTCTTTAATTTTCTCGCCGCGTCGGATGCCAAAAAAAAAATTAACAGCAAAATTAACTCCGACATTCAGTTATAGTTCCAGTAATTTTTATCGGGAGAGTGCAATGAGAAATAGACATTTGATTGGCAATAATTACAGAAAATACTGTCATTTTTTTACACCGGTTTTTCAGTTTCTCTTTTTCTTTCATTTTTCAGAGGAAGTGATAAAGATGATTGATTATTCAATTATCGCGGTAACCATTGAATGGAAAATCGAGAGATCTGATACGTCAGATCGCTCAACAAGAATTCAAAATTTCCAAAAATCATTTAACTCTTTGTTGCACAATCTATTTACGCAAGTCCAAGTATTAATCCCCAGAGAAAGTTCTGGAGATATTGAAATTGATTAGTTTCTTTTGGTGACATTCACTCAATGGACGTGACAGTTTGGAAAAGAAATTCGAGGCGCGAGCAATTGAAATCGTGTAAAAGACACCGTGCGAGAAAAAAAAATATTGTGCAGGCAACGAATGATTTATTTATAAATAATTTCCCTGGAATTATCGATACGTGCAAAATCCAAAAATCGCGGGATTTATTGAATCGTAATTTATAATGCACCGTGTCGCAATAACTTTCACTCAAATCTGCATTCGGCATTCTTTCGGTTGGAGATTGTCACGTGCTTTGGATTTTCACGAATTCGCGGAAGTTCAATTGCTTTATTTTATCCATTGAGGCACGAGGAAGATATCATTTGACATGATGCAATTACCCTGGAAATTACCAGTTTATGTAGTTAAAACAGGAAACGAGAAGAATTCACCAGCGTAGAGGTAGACTCTAACAAAAGTCATTTTACCTCCAGTCCCTCACAGATAGTGAAATTTTCATAGATACATTTTTTCCAGCCCTAATTCCGCCCTACAAAATAGGTTCTAATAAAAAATTCGCTATCTCCCTTACATTCGGAGATATTCCTCATTTTGCCTTCGTAATTCCCAAGATAATTCCAGATTTTACAATGAAAAATCGATATTCAGTGCAAAATAATGGAAGATAATTTTTTATTTATATTTATTATAGATATGGAAGGGTAGTTTACGAAGAAATAATAGATGATTTTTTTTCGTTGAATCTCACGCGATTTTACTTTGACGAGAGGGAAGTAAAATATTTAAAGCTCCAGGTGGTGCAGCCAACAAACTACGAGGGTAAAATGAAGGGAAATAGCGTAAGATAATTGCACTGTGGTACTTCTGCTGACGTTCCCTCGACTTTCTTTTTTTTCCCTCAAGTTGGAGAGAACCTACCACCCTCTATTATTCATAATCAACCGAGTGAGGCAAAATCGTGAGATTTACCCCACCGAGAGGACGGTCGATTCAGAAGCTACACCCCTCGTCTACCTTTCCATCACTCTATATTCATCGAAGGGCCATGACCTATGGTTATCCTCCAGAAATGTGTGCATTCATACCTTCGTCGAAGGTTTTCTCCGCGTGAAGGACAGACGGTAAAAAAAAAACTGAATGAGAAGAAAAATCGAACGGAATAATTAATTCTCTATCAGAGAATTTTTACTCAACGAATTCAGACGAAAATCCATGAGTTACGGGTCGATGAAATGATTAATTAATTTCCCAATTCCATGGATGATTTGAATTTTTTAAAATGAATGGCAGATATTTTGACTTGACGACTCACAATCTGATGGATATCCATAAATAATTCAAAGAGAAGTATTCGTTGTTTTAATAGTTTCAGGAATATACATATCCATAAAATTAATTCTGGGAGACCGAGCAGGAGTGAAAGGCAACAATGTGAATGCTGGGGTTCGGTTGGTTCCAATGTGAAGTCGAGTAAATGTTGAAAACGGACACAAAAACACAACCACGTATAAACTACCCAGTGAAACAGGTTTGTCTCATCACCGTCACGTTATCTTGGCTACCGTCGACCGAGACATATTCGAATGTTGTCCTCGTTTTATATATGTAAAGTGAGTCTTTCAAAGTCGAAGAATGCAACGATATGTCACTGATATCACCATTACCCCGAATAAATCAATGAAACCCCCCCCCAAAAAAAAAATCCCTCGCCGAGGGGTGACCGCTCAAATTTTTATTCAATAATAATTCTGTTGTTACTAATTATTAATTTAGTTTTCAAATTTACAGCCTTCATTTTTTAATTCCTTGGGAGAGAATTTAATGAGGAAAAGGGGAGTTTAGTTGTTGAAATGATAGACATGGAGGTAATCTCCAGTGTATCCTCCAGCTAGGAAGTAATCTAATAGATCAACGTATCCTGAAGATGTTGGTAATCATGAATCTCATTTTGCAAATTATATTCCAGTGCGGGTATGATTCACCGCGGCAAAAACAATCTCTTCCCTTGAAGTCACTCGATACTCACATTTCCGGGGTAAAAATAACGGAAGTGAATTTGAGATCGTTTGACAAGTGTTTTAATGAGATTAAACCGATCAATTTCAAACGACTGCAAAAAATCGGTGGGTGATTGTATAACGTTCAGAGATAATTGGCTGTCAATAATATCAGGGAATCCCAATTGGAATTCCCGAGATACCCTGTTCGGCTTGTTTGACGATTTTGTAGAAAATATTTTGAATTGATTCTAGAAATCTTCATAAACAAGACAGTGGTTCGGAAATTATTTTGATAATGGAAAGCCATCGAAAATCATTTTAATCTATCTGTACTGGTGTTACAAATAATTTATCGCAACTCGTTAGCATTGAAACAACAGGAAAACACGGTAGTGAAAGGAAATACCATTGCCCAACAATTGAGAAAGGAATCTTTAGAATTAGCTTTAAAAATTATCACCGATGCATAATTATATTAATACGCACCACCAATTTTACAACATTCAAGGGTTCTTGAATATTCAGTCTCAATCTTATTAATGTTTATTTTAATCTCTCAATTTTATTAATCCGCAATAATTTATTCGATGATCAAGGAAAGGAATTTCAAATAAAAATTTCTATTTGATTCAAATCACCCAATTTTCTTGGTGATTTCTTACCGAGTGGAATTTTCATAATGCAATGAATTTTCAAATTGAAAATGCCAATAATTTACATGAGTTGGGTAAAAAAAAAAAATCGAGGACAAGCGGTAGAATAATCTGATACACGTCTACGTATATGCATTGAAAAAAAAAAAAAAAAGTGGATAGCACGGTGAAAATGGTGTAACCTTGTCGGGCGACCTCGATCGCCTTCACCATCAGGTGGTAAAAGGAGAGAAGACCAGGTGATAAAAAGAGATGGAATCGAGCAATGGAGGGATTGCAAGAGGGAATTCAACGAGAGAGATGGATAACACCTCCGATCGTTGGCTTTCGAAGATTGTATCCGTATAATAAAAGATCGGTCTGGAGGAACTCTCACTTTTTCCGGAGTAACTCAAAAAATTTTTGGAAATGCCAGTCAAAAAAATTGACGATTTCAATCGTTCGAATATTTTGAGAAAAATCATTTTAATCAAAAAGATTAGGAATATTCCAAGAATTTGAACGATTGTTTAATGAAAAATTGAGATTATAATTCTACGAGTTCTTCATTAGTTCATATTTTTCCGTGGTTTTTATCGCCGATGATAACGATAATGAATTGGATATGGCGCGGAGAAATCATATAATGAAACGTGAGAGAATGCAGATTGTGGAAAGAGTCAAGGAACTCGATACTCATTACAAGTTTAAAAAGACGTCGTGTGAAATATCTTCAAATGAATTCCGCTGGTACGCAAAACAACGCGTTACGGTAAACATCAAAATATCTTGGAAAAAAAAAATTGACAATAATCTAATTATCACAAGTTCAAGTATTTTATGAGGGATTTTTTTACGAAAAATCGATTCGGCTCGTGACTTGTAGATTTTATGATCTACGAAAATGTGCAACGAGAGAATTTCGAAACAGGATATTCTGGTGATTAAATTTATTTCACTCACCCCTTCGTTTCCTGAGAATTGAATCGTAGGATTCTGACCGGTCTTATTCTGAAAATAAAAGAAAAGAGCATTAAAAATCGGCAAAAATAATAATTGCAGTGTAGAAATATTAATTCCAAATACTCCAGATGTTACAATTGAATGGTCGAGTCGAATGACGCAATAATCGATGCAGCAAGAGAATTTAGAGATGAGAATGCAATTGAATTCAGTAGCAAAGTGGTAAAAGGCGTTAAATTGCCTCAACTCTTCAGTGAGTAATTCCATAAAAACTAAGGACGACAGCAAAATTTGTGTAATAACCTTTTTTGCAGTTCTCAATTATCTCCACAAAAAAGGTCCCAACAAAAATTGCACCATCTCCCTCCCCTTCGTAGATATTCCCCCCTAAAAAAAAAACCGAATGGCAAAACTGCTCTCCTTTTACCACTTCTCTCCTGAATTAACAATTGCACTTGCGAAAATAAGGAAAATTATTGAACCATGCGGGGAAGTTACATTGTTTCAGTTACATAAATGTTATTGACGCAATCCCATAAAAAATCGTAAAGTGATCAGGGAATTATTTCGTTGGTGTAATTCAGTGGTAAAAAATGAATTGGAGTCTTGGAAATAATGGCGAAAGGACGTCCCACAGGAAGAATCGATGATCAAGGCTAGCAACTCAGCCGGATTTAAATAAACATTGGGAACATAATTTCGAGTTGCTAACCAGTTAAGAAAAAAATCACCAGGTTGAACGAGGTTGCCGGCTTGTGTATTTTATACGAGTTTATAAGTTGCCAACGAATTCGGCAACACCGCCAACTGGTTCACTTTCTCTCAGCACAGCAAACTCCAATTGCTGTTCTGTCTACCCATACTGCAACCCCCTTCACTCTTCAATGATTTTTTTTTCCCTCGAATACCGATCGATAGTTCATTGCAGATCAAGTCACCGAGTCTCAATACGTTACAGAGAGGTCTATTATTTTTTTTCATCCAGTTCAAACTAAATCTACCACTCACTCCTCCATTTTCACAATCTCAGAGCTTTCAGTAAAGCTTCACTAAGGAAGGTTTAAAAAATTAAATAGATAATCAGTACAAGATACAAGATTGAATAACAGATTGATACTCTTGGATGGACTGGACTCTTGGCTTATCCTGGATGTTGGAAATCATCGAAATTGAAATTGAAAAAGAAAAGCGTTGAATTTGTTAATTCAGTAGAAAAGATTGGCAATAAAAATTGCGTCCATTGTAACTGGTCATTGAAGCAAGTTGAAAGAAAAAAAAAGTCGAGGTCGTGTACCGTTTATTTATATTTACTCCGTGACCAAACAATAAAACTTCGTTCCGTGTCGTCGAGTCGCCGAATAATTCGTACGATAAGCAATCATTCTCAAGCTTCACGGATGAAAGCTTAACAAGGACATCTCAAATATACATAATTGTGCAAACTTGATTCCCACCGTCACTGAATGCCAGACTAACCGGATTATTTGAGACTCGAGATATTTGGGTAATGGTGAAGGGAAGTTCTGACTGAAGCCAATCATTGGGAATAAAAATTTTGGCAAATTAAATTGATGAGAGATCATTCACGGAGGGATGGATAATGTCATTTATTTATTGAAAAATCTAATTATAATTTCTAATCAAAGGATACGCTCATCTAATTCACCCCTCGGATGGTAGCAAGGGGAGGATTATTCTCAGACAGCACGTTGAAAACTTGAATCTTATGAGTCTCTTGGTGGAACTCGTTTATGCAACAAGCGCTTGAAAGTTTTGTTCAGACATTTCAAAGCATTTCATGGGGCTTTCTGCTTGAGAAGCATAAATTTGTGGAGAGTCCAATCCTTTCTACGACCGATAAATTTGAATATCAAAAACCATTTTGACAGTATATTAGTGGATAAGGGATTATTTATTTTATATGTGCTGCTCATGCTGCTCATTCGTTTGAAGGATCATTTGGATGGAGAACAGAAATTGTCTATTGGCCAAGAGGATTGATTATGTGTGTGTGGAAGAAGCTCGAAGAAGGGGAGAAAAATGAAACGAGAGTATGATTGCTACAGACTTGACAATAGCATCAAGAGACGACGACCTTTTGCCAGCTATTGATTCGTAAGCGACGAGACACTTTGCACGTTTCAACTTACACTGTTAAATATTTTTATCTGAATTTTTTCCCTTGAAATCCAGGAATTACTAATTTAACGCCTCAACATCCGTTAAATTTGTGATAATCTAGTCATTGCAGGGATTAAGATTGTTGTCGTATGTATTGACGAAGATATAAGAATTGCTTGAAATTTCGACTTAATGTTTTTCAAGCGATAACAGATGCCTGAAGAAAATTTCAAATTGATTCACAAAAATCTCATGACTGACTCAAATTTTTTTTTCATTAATTTGTTCAAACGACCCAATATTTATTCATAAAATCAAATATGATGTAATAATTTTTTATGGCTGTTACTTCAATTAATTAACGCATTGAAATATTAATTGAAAATTATTCGCGATAAATATATCGAATTATAGAAAGGGTCATAAACTTTTGTTTTGTCTATACATGCAGAACATCCTTAACTCAGTTGATTAGTTTTACAATTTGTTTGTCGGTGTGACCTTGTCTGACATGTTCACGTAACATTGAATACTTGTGTAGAAAGTATCTCAAACGAGATAAAAATGGAGAGTGACAGATAAAAGAGAGAAATATGAATTTTCGCGATAAATGAATAATCGAAAAACCAATCGATAATCTCACTGGAATTTCTAGTGGAAATCCCGTCAATTTGAAATCAATTTTATTGATTAAATCAATTTTATTGTTTAAACGATCGAATGAAAATTATTCTATGATAAATCCGTACCGGAGAAATAAAATATTGAACTGCAAAAAATATTTTTATCTCTGTAATAATTATTTTGAATTGGTGTTTCGAGAATGGGTAAAAATAAATAAGTCAGTGAGATAATTAGTGCATCATGAATTATCGTGACCCATGGCGATTAAAAAACAGTCCATTTGAATTAATTTCGATATTTAACGCATTTTTAAGAAACCGAAAAATTCTGATCGATTTCACTATAATGTAAATCCACTACACAATTTCCATTCTGTTTCCACTATTTAAAATTTTACTTTTATGACTGTTTTAACCGATGACTTGTTATAAATTATTTGATATTCTTTCCCGGAATTCTCGACGACAAATTCAACGTGAGAATTAAGTGAATGAATAGAAATTGGGGTATCGTCCTGGCAAAATAAAAGAAACAAGGAAAGAAACTTGAAATCATTGAAATTTAAAAGGCATCAATGGGATACCTGGAAGGGATGTCTTTGAATTTGCAAGAAAGGGCAGGGCGGAGACCTACGACGACCAGACAGCTGTCGAGGGAGTCAAAAAGAGTTTCCCCTTATCTTGTAACAATAGGTACTCAGGGAAAATGTAAATTGGAAAATCCAGGGAGAAGTAACCTATTCCTTCGATTGTCATAAATTTCGACTATTTACGTATGCTCCAGCAAAATAATTGCACCTCCTCTGTTAATTTATTTTTACGTCAATTCTGATTCCCAATGAATAATTTCACTCTTCAATAAAATGTGACGCAGTAAAAAATTACAAGCAGACGTTAATTATATAAACACTGTAGATATGATAGATAAGCACGTGTTCAATTGACGGAATTATCAGGGGCTAATAAAAATATGTGAAAAAATAGAAAACTCAATGAAAAAATGATGACGTACTAGCCTGTTTTTAATTCAAAAAAAATTCTTTGAATTTAGATAGTGAGGGATAGTTCGTCGTTGTGTCTATGTCAATAAACTTTGGATAGGTATTACCTCAAGTATCACTCATAAAGTTAGAATATTCTGACAAAAATAATCCAACTGTTGATTCTACACACGTCAATCAAGCGGTAATCTTGAAAAATTTCTCACTGGATGTCCAAATATAAGACATTTCTCTCAATTACGCCAACTTTCAATTTTCACATTTTACAGAATTACCAATAAGATATCTCTGTACATTTTCTCTTGAAACTGATGATTATCGAAATGTACGGGGGATTGAGTAGTTAAGCGGTAAAACCTGGCAATTATCTTAATTCCATCCCCGGAAGTGATTCTAGACATTTTTCCTCGAACCCGATAATTAATGCCATCAATTACAAATGAATACTCCAGGAACCTCAAACCAAATTTTCCCCTAGAACTATTTCCCGTATTTATTCGTTTCGATATTTTCATGTGTCGATATTTACTATTCGATAAAACAGAATTTCCTAATAAAAATGAAAACGAAAACAATTGAATATTTCAATCGTCGCTAACAGTGGAGTTTTGACGATTCTTCGTCACTAGATAAATGTGAAAAACATCCATCACTCCACCTCTCGTTTATTTATTTCATATGCTTTATCGGAGACGTAAAGTCTAATGTTTTCTTCCTTATGACGATTTACCGATGTAATATGACTAGACCTTGGATAAAGACCTAGACAAAGAGTGAAAAATGACAATTGGCAAGAACAATGCCTTTGGCACCTCAAATTCATGATATCGAGACTAATTATCCCCTCAACAATGAATCCCTTCTCTCATTTCAATTCCCCCACTACCTCCCACCCTTCTTTCGTCATTAGCCCGAAAAAGTCTGCAACATATGGAACGGAAAAACATCAACAACACCTCCTACCAGTCCCCAGAAAACCTCCACTGACTCAAAAAAATAAAGAAAACCAACGCAAATAATTCGCAAACCTCCCACTCATCCCTAGAACCGAAAAATAATAATTTCAGGGCGAGAATCGCCTCGTGCTGTCTGCCATATGTATAAATTTCATTCACATGTCCTTTCACTTTCCCTACCAGAGGCAAACGGCTTATGGCCGTTGTAAATAGCATTGAAATATATCTAGAAAAAAATTTATAAATCACTAAATAAAAACTGAACAAAGACGACAAGAACTCTCTCTGCCTTCTCTAAATTTCCGAATATTTAGTCAAGTGTTCATCCCTCCTTCCATCTTTAGACCCCAGTCTCTTATAAATTTTTTTCTGAATTATAACGGCTGATTGGTCCTTTGAAAAATGCGAATGGACGTCACAATATTACATAATTCATTGTTTGATCAATCATCGTGAGATACAAAAAATTCTCCAATAATCCCAATATTCCTCAACTTCATAATAACGAGAAGACATTCGCAATAAAAATTGAAAAATTAAAAGGACAAGAAATAAAAACTGATTTAAAATGGGAATTTCCAACGGCTCTCACTCGTCGAGCTCCAGAATTCCTGGCAATTGCCCCACAATAATTACAAGAATATCAAATATCTCGACGGAGCTGTTCAATAATTAATAATTCCCCAGTAGAATAAATTATGAGTATGTATGAATTTTAATAAGAAAAAACATCTGCAAATGTGAATCGTGTCATTCAATGACATTTAAGTCTGTCGGAGGATTGAAAAGAGATGATGAAAAATAAGTGGAAAAGTAACTCACCCGATTTTTGAGAAAATCCTCAATAGCACGCTGGGCCGAATCAGTTAATTTCACAAATATAAGCGACTTATTCTCGTGAAAATCGTTGTGCGATGACAAACCATACTGGACACCTGCCACCAGCGCCGCCATTTCTATCTTGATTCTCTCACGCCGAAACACCAGCTGACGTCGGCTAGTCGATTAAACACTTGGATTTTTCCTCAATTTTCCACCTCCAAGTCAATAAATTATCCTCGTTGAATCCATTCACAACGTCAAAATCCCTCAATTCACCGATTCTCCGATATTTTCAAAAACTTCGAGGTTAATGCAACAGTAAATCCGGATGGAAAGCCTCGAAGCCGTTTTCTCTCACCGTCTCACAAAATAATATATCAACATTTACCTCCCCGATTTTTCAATATCTCGATTATCCGTCACTTTACTATCACGATGTAATTCCAATTAAACAATTCCACCCACTTTTTTAAAGATATCTTCGTCTCTAAATCACTCCTGCCCCCCTGTGGTGCCTTCACCTTCTGGCTGATATCCTCCAGACGAGTTTGATCCACAAGATTTCCCTTCTCACTGGGAGTTTAAAAAAAAATTAAATGATTTATTAACGGTTGATCACATATTCGTGGTGTTTTGGCAACTTATTTGTCCATTCAACGGCGAAGGGATGGATTATTATTTTTAGGTATTCTTTGCAGCTCTTCGGTGTGTTTTAAATAAGATGTTGGGGACACAGAGAGAGGTCTGCTGTGTCGTGTAAGAAAACTACACAACTACACACTTTCGAACGGCCACCTGGTGGGCGGGGTCACGCAACGCCAAAGCAACCCGCCAATAAGTACACGATTCAACTTTATATTCCAGTTGTGGTAGGAAATACAACTTTAGTTATACGGAGAGGGAAGCACTACAGCGACATCTCCCATGAAGTATTTCATTTTTACAAAATTTCAATAATTTTTCCCTTTTCATTTCCCCTTCCTTCATTTTTCTCCAATATTAAAACAAAAATTATTATCACCAAAATATTGCAAATAATAATAAATTTACTGTCTTTTTTGTTATTATAAAATTATAATTTTGAAAAGATTCGGTGAATTTATTTTGTTTATAAAAACACGCGATTAGTATTTGGTTGCTGGTTAATTGTTTAAAATATTATTTCACTCTGTAGAATTGGTTAATTATTAGAGTATTAATCAATATAATGAATAAAAGTTTGAAATTCCTGTATTATCGGTCTTTTTCTTATCGACGGAAGGAATGTATCCCAACGAGGTACCAAAGAGGATTGACTACTGTAGAGGCTCAGTGCGGGGGGTTTAAGTGACCCCACCACCATCGTAGTACTGCACCCCAAGAGAGGGGGTGCGCCACAGGTCTGCGCTTCAGCCGATCGATAACTGCCTCAGTAGCAGTCTCGCTGTCAGAGGGACTGTTGGTATTAACTGAAATTTAAAAATTTTCAGAAGTCAGTTTTCAGTAAGTGACTCCTAAAAATTTTTTAATTTCAGTGAATACCCCCTCGACGTTCATGTTCCCCTGATATTTTTTAAAAAATTTTGAATTTTTCAATTTCAGTGAATACCTCCTCGACGTTCATGTTCCCCTGATATATTTTCAAAAATTTCGAATTTTTCCATTTCAGCGAATACCTCCTCGACATTCATGCTTCCCTGATACTTTTTCAAAAATTTTGAATTTTTAAATTTCCGTGAATACCAGAAACCTCATTTTATTTTAAATTTATTATATATTATATTTTATATTTATTTTAAACTAAACCAAGACTAAATTTATTATATATTATATTTTATATTTATTTTAAACAATATTTAAAATTCAAATCCTGACTAATCATTTATATTAAAAATCGAATTATATCACTTTTTCAAAAATAATTCAAAATACTTCACCAACAATTTACCGAGACAACATAAATTAATCATTCAACAATAAATTAGTCCTAAATATATTTCGCTGGGCGAATCGTATTAAATTATTTCAATACAAATAATCTACATATTCAAGAGTGAATAGAATTTTTTCCATTATTCTCACCAAACTTCTCACGTAAACCTAATAAATTCATTAAAAAAAAAGTAAGTATCGTAATCAGTATTCAGTGATAAGGTGATCACATAGTGAACAACGCGGGAATATGTACATAGCTATAGAATGTCGAGGACAAGACCTCAATTCCGAATTTCAGTAGACAGAATTAATGCCAGGAATCCCCCATATTATCAAGTCTATTTGTCAAAGGTCATAAATCTTTCCTCTATTTTACATTTGCTAATCAAGAGTAATTAAATGAGTGGGAGTAACGGTCAACAGTGGTTACATATTAAGTGCAAAATAATGAGTGATTTCATCAGTTCTCTCCTGGATTTACAAGACTAAAATTTTCGCCGCGATGATTAATAATTGCAATACCGGTTTAATAGTTATTGTACTCTTGATCGCAGTCGGAGCTAGAGATATCGCAGGTCAGTGTCCACCAGTTGCAAATGGATTTATCGTGAATTCGCTCCAAGGTAATGGATATAATATCCGATCATCACAAAATCCGAATGAATTTTTCGTTAATACTGCCAATGGACTGGAACTTCGCGTAATTATTGGACAGAGTGGATTTTTAATTAGTGGAAATGATGCTAACGGCCGTAATTTGACTGCTAATCCAGGACCCTCTGGACAAGTGGAATTCGTTGCTAATGCGACAGGTAATTTCCTAAGTGTATTTCAATTATATAATATTTACGATAATAACAATGAATTAAATAACGATAATGATAATGAAATCATCAGGGAATTGGAATATATAAAAATTATAAAAAATATAAAATCAATTAGGCTCAGGTGAGAAAAAACTCTGCGAGGGCCAGTCCTTCCCCGCAGGCTACAAAGTCACAATGGGCATTGGGGCCCATAAATACTATAAAACCAAGAAATCCTGGAACGACGCCCGCAACACCTGCGTCAACGACGGAGGTAATTAACAATTCTTTTGTCTTTAATTAATTTTATAAAAAATATGTGAGAGTTAATATTAACGTACAGGTCACCTCCTTGTAATTACTTCGGACGCTGAGGAAAAAGTTATCTTGAACATGGTGAATGCCGCCGGGGATTCGGATACATGGCTCGGGATTCATGATCTTTTTGTATTCCGAGATTGGGTGACGATTCAGGATGTGAGACTCAATGCCACTGGATACGCCAGGTGGTCACCAAGAATCGTACCAAATCCAGATAATTACGGAGGTAATCAGCGTTGTGTGCGTTTACTCAATACCGGAGGAATGGATGACATTCAGTGCACATCGTCCATATCATTCGTCTGCAAAATTCAATGCAACAAATGTCTCGCGAGTCCAGCGGTCAATTAAAAATATTTACATCTCCCAGATATCTTCGTTCTTACAGTTAACTATCATCAATAAATATTCAGTCAATAATAAAATAATCCACTCGTGGGTCCATTATAAAAAAAATAATGTCCGATTTTAAATGTTTTTTTTTCACTCAATTGACGATGAATTCTTTATTTCTACTCGGGTAGGGATAATTTATTTATTTACAAGTACTGGAAGTTGGGGTTGTTATCAGTGGATGTAGTACTCGATGAGACCGTGAGAGTTCGCGGTAAACTTGTAAGGACGTAATCAATACACACCCCCAACTCGGGGGAGGCAGCTTTGGCACGTTTCACCTGGGGGTGTCGTCACACCCCACCATAAGACCCAACAGTTTCGATAAATTCATTTTTACCAGTGGCTTTGTGTTGTTCGCAACTCTCCATCGCTATCACGGAAACAATACCGGATATTACATTGAAGTTACATTCAACCCCCGATAAATCATCCCCAATCGTTCACAGTGACGTCTGCAACATGGCGTCATTCATCTTTCCAATGAAAATCGTAACTCCATTCTTATCCGAGTGTATTGACAATAAATTTTAATTCCCCAATATCGTTAATTTCTAGGAACAAATTGTGCACGTTTAATTCAACTGAAAGTTTTGAATAAATAACGTATATAAAGCTGTTATGAACATACAATCACTGTGTTTTCACTCTATCATTAGGATAATTAATGGGTGGGAGAGGTTGAGAAAAATACAGGGAAGATGATTTATCCGGGTGTTCGAAACAGTCTCGAGGTGATGGTCTGATTTAAACTCCCAGTGATAGTGATTTTATCAGAGTCGTCAGGGATATGTTGAATTATAGAAACGAATAAACGATTCGTTATCGCGATATTATAATTATTTTCATGGGCTCGTTAATGAATGGTGGAACAAAATGCATCTGCATTTTGAGAAGAACACCAATGCCAAATGCGACTGCAATATTCTGTCACTCAGTTGGATGGGGAAGGTGCCGGATGAAGTACCTGAGGTGATTATTTTAATTATTATTTAAACAATCGACGAGATATCGGTGAATTATCGATTATTACAGGACGAGGGGTGGACACTGAGTCGTACGAATTATTATCAAGAGGGATGGCTTGCTACCGGAAATGCAAGAGGTCTTGTCGGTGTGACTTTCACAACATCCCATTGTCGCACCAGAAATGCGGAATTACCATTACGCGCTAATTATAATCTCCGAGGGCACCAGAGTGAGGTAGACCTCTCACAGAAATCATTATGTATGAATTAGCGGCAGCTCACGATTTATTTTACAATTTTATTTCAACAGGTTATTCTTGTAAACTGGAATGAGCCCTATCAAAAATTGGCTTCTTGCGACAGTTCCGGTGTCATATTTGTTTGGATTAAATACGAGGGAAGATGGAGTATAGAATTAATTAATGATCGTAGCACACCAGTTACGCATTTCTCATGGTCACACGATGGACGAATGGCGCTGATATGTTATCGGGTAATAATATATTTATTTCCATTTTTTTTTTGTATTTTTGGGATTGAATTATTTCGGAAATTAATTTATTTACCTCATCTTCAGGATGGATTCGTCCTGGTGGGGAGTGTCGCAGGCCAGAGGTATTGGTCATCAATGCTGAATGATCAAGCAACGATCACCTGCGGTATCTGGACACCAGATGACCAACAAGTGTATTTCGGTACAACTGCAGGACAATTGATCGTCATGGACGTCCACGGGGCGATGGTCTCCGAGGTCCAGCTGTCAGGTGGAATTACATCGATGGCATGGAGTGCTGAGAAATTTAAAATGGAGGAAGGCGACGACGATCTTTCCGGGAATATTATTCAGCACGGTAATCTATGTTCACTGATTAAAATAATCACCTGATTTAGGACTTTAATCAATTAAATTCTGAGCAGATGAGAGACGATACGTTCTAGCTGTGTGTCTTATCGACGGGAACATCATCATGCTACGCTCTTATGACGATGTCTCTCCAATCACCATAAAGACCGGTCTAAAATCACCTCTACACGCCGAATGGAGTAACTCCAGGAAATTACTAGCTATTGCTGGTACTAGTGATCTAGATGCTGCAACTAGAAATCCCCAGGAATACACGAATGTTCTCAAATTTTATTCAGATTCAGGCTCGCTTGTTTACACAACTGCAATTCCTTACACTCAGGTAAACCATTCATTCATTCATTCATTCATTCATTTATTCATTCATTCATGTAATTACCATTGCAACACGAGTGCGTATCATTGATAAAATTATTGGCAGTGTCAAGTGTCAGCGTTGACATGGGGTCACAATGATCGACGTCTCTTCGTTGCAACCGGGACACGCGTCCATGCCGCTTGGGTATCCAGGTAAATAATATAATCAGAGCAATGAAGAATTCTCTTGAATGATCAATTGAATTTTCCAGACGTGTTGGATCACTTCAGCTGCTCTCTAGATTGGCCGTCAGAGCAGCTCTGAGTCGTGAACCTAGTGTTGATCAGCTTCCTCTGCCTCCCAGACTGCGCGCTTTGGTGGCGGCTCTTTTTGCCAATACAATTCGGTAATTAAATAATAATTAGATAAATATCTCACTGCTGGGCAGTACCTTGTGAACTTGCGTTTCCCATTTCCAAATAGATCATGCGTACCTGAGCCACGAGAATTGAGAAAATTCGTTTCACGTCCACCAGTCACGGGTGGTAGACTTCATTGTACAATGCTGAGACATGCCGGTGAACCAGCGCCTTGCTACACGCTTTATCTCGAATATCTCGGTGGTCTAGTCCCACTGTTGAAAGGCCGTAGAACAAGCAAAATTCGACCGGAATTCGTTATATTTGATCCACAGAGTCATGATAGTATTCACATGCCCGATTATAATTATCAATCGCCTTCTTTGAGCGATGGCTCAGACACCGAGAGAGACACAACTGATAGTTACGGCTCACCGAGAAATAAACGAAAATATCGGCGACGGCGTGACGATAGAACGAATGATGAGACTGACGATTTGACTTACATAGATACATTACCCGAGCACGCAAGACTGGTTGAAGTAACATCGAATATTTGGGGAACCAAATTTAAAATTCACGGTCTAACTGATTCAGTACCTGCTAATTTGGGTCAAGTAACATACCGCACATCGCTACTGCATCTTCAGCCAAGACAAATGACACTAGTCATGACAGAGTTGCGGGATGATTTGCCACCAGGTCCAGATCCAAGTTTCAATCCAAATTTATTCTCCGAGGACGAGGAGGAGACGTTCCAAGAGTCACAGAGTGTAACGAGAAAAAGCTCAGAAGCATCACCACCACCAATAGCTCCTATGACACCACGTAACTCACGGTTGAGCATTAACCGGCCAAAATCACAAGTATCTAGTCAATTTATAACGCCCGATGCACTCATGTCACCTGTCCTAGCGCAAGCAGATAGTTACGATGATTTCTCATACATTGATGTGCAAGATGTTATGGATATGGGTGATAATGTGAGAGCAACGTCGAGCAATCACCGAGCGTCTAGGCATCATCCACCCAGGTGCTGTGATGTGCCCGCTTTACAATCGCCAAAAAATTCCGTTGCTCCAACCCAAACGCTTATAGCGACGTCCAATTCAAATACCGATTATTCCAGCAATATTCAACGAGTCAAAACAGCACTCACTGATCAACAAGTGATGCGGAAGGAATTGGAGAATAATAAGATCAATCAAGCTGATGAAAAAATAACTTTAGCTGTCACTCAGGCCAATATTATATCTACGTCCATGCAGAGTGGACAGAATAGCGCTTTACGACAAAGTTCGATAATAACGGGACACAGCTCACCGTCACAAGTTTATTGGAATTCATCGAGTGTCTCCGGGCCAATGCTACCCAGTTGTAATCAACTTAATTATGTTAATGTGAAGATTAATCACAAGCCGCATTCCAATTCTTCGTCATCCAACTCTCAATCATCATCGGCAATAAATTTTTCGAAGAATGTCATTGGCTCGCCCAATTCGAACACACCCACATGCTCACGTCAATCGGTTAATGTTAATTATCCCTCCACTTGTAGTCAGTGCTCACCTAACAAGCGAAAAGAAAAAACCACTGGATGCTGTGGAAAATCTAGCTGCAGTGCAACGAATTCTGTGACGTCAGGAAGGAGTGATGAACTGAGATTCATTGATGAAGAGTCCAGGGAAATTGATTTTGTCCAGACGTCGGGGGTACGTCGGACCCCAACGGTCGTCAGTATTGGTCCGATGTGTCCACCGTTGGATCCAATTATCAGAAGCTGCAGTGTTGGTTATCTAGATATGGTTGATACTCAAATGATACCCTGTGATGTTGCCCTGAAGATGTTACGAAAAGAAGCTCCAAACAAGAGACTTGTCCTGGTGTCTAGAAAGACTAGGAGGAGAAGGAAAAATAAGGGGCACGAAATCAGTCAACAGTGTACGAAATTAAAATTAAAAACTTGTGGAAAGTCAAAGAGTTTGGACTCCAGTGATATGTTCCCGAGTACTGAAATTATTTCTCTACCGCCACAGCTTACACAGCACGCAGAAGAAACAGCTGGTCAAATGACAGAGGTATTGGAAATTTCTCACGATGAAAGTTACCCTGTGGCTCATTGCTGTCCAGATCCACCGGACGCTGAAAAAAATCGAGAGGACAACAGTGATCGGAGAAAGAAAGACAATTACTCCCTCGGTGAAGCTAAATCCAGTGGTTCCTTGTCATCATCGTTGGACGGTCTTGCAGCAAGATTACGTGACTTCGATGATACTCACAGTTTACCTCCCCTCTCGCCCCGTCTCACCACGAGACTTCCTCGCAGCTCTCCAAGCAGTCCAGCTCCATCGAAAAAAGGAAAAAGACCGGCCTCGGCGTCACCAATACGACGCAGACTCTTATCGAGCCCATTATTGAACAGGCGAAGCAGAAAAAGTCGGGGTGAGAGCTCCGATGACGAGGGCCAATGCCAGGATCAAGCATCGAGAAGCTACAGAAATTTGGAAACCTTCCAAAAAGCTCAACTCCGACAAAAGGTCCTTCAAACTTTCTCGCATCTATTTTTGTAATCGCTCTATTTATTTCAAAGTTATTCAACCAATACTCGGTCAAGTATACTCTATATTCATTGTCTTACAGCTGAAGCAAAAAGTTATTGGTGCATCGGGTCATAAAGCCGAAGAGCTCGTGATGCATAATAAAGCCCCAATGTGGAACGAGGCCAGTCAAGTTTATCAGCTTGATTTTGGTGGTCGAGTTACTCAGGAAAGTGCGAAGAATTTTCAAATTGAATACAGGGGAAAACAGGTGCTTGTTTTTTTTTTTAGATTCAGCCCAGTCTGACTGATCAGGGATAATGTCACGTGTTCTCATTTGATTAGGTCATGCAGTTTGGACGAATTGATGGAAATGCTTATACTCTGGATTTCCAGTATCCATTCAGCGCACTCCAAGCTTTTTCCGTTGCTCTGGCGAATGTTACGCAACGGCTCAAGTAACCATCAATCTTCTCCAGTATCTCATTCGATTTATATGTACGGATTTGGTTATGATTTCATCTAATTCAGTTTGCCAGAGGAGGTCATGAGCTAGAATACTATGGCCGCGCTCATGACCTTCCAAATCGTTACAAAAATATAAAAAATCGTTGGATCTGGGAAGGAATGAATTTTAACAGCTAGAGACTCATTTTTATCTTTCAATTTCAGGTCCATTCGAAATTTGGAGTACGAGTGAGTGATTGTCTCGTTAATTCAGGGGAATCCATAACGGTCTCAATCTGGAAGGAACGAATTTTAATCGCCCGATCGAATTTCTATTGTCATATTTCAAGATTACGTCTAAATGACCGTCCAGTGCCATTCATCACTACGGCAACTGCTTCTTCGTTTATTTATTTAATTGCATAATTTGTATAGAATTGGCGTCTGTGAAGCGAGAATTTTTTAGTTAAAATACATGTTTATCCTTGTTTAAATAATTCGAAAATTCTTTCTCTGTCCTCAGCCAATCAGAAATATCCTCCCACATCAATCATTCATTACTCATTAAATGACCAATTAATTCACCCAAATCAATCCCATTTAATTTCACCATTTTCTATCATTACAGATTTAATTACAATTCTTACAGTAATCAAGGATCATTAATTCTAACAAACTTAACGATAAATAATAATTTACATGTGAAAATTAATCTTGTTGCTAATGAAATTATGATGATGCATCTTTTATATGAATTTTCTGAAATGACTGTTTAGCTATTTTAATCAAATTATCGCTCATGGCATATCCTGTTTTTTTCACAAGAGATGAAAATTTCCCTTTTTGATTTTTGAGTAACACATAAGGATGGTCAAATTCAACAATTTCACCATTATCCATAACAATAATTTTATCACTATCCATAATAGTATTTAATCTATGAGCAATGGTAAGTACCGTACACGCCATAAATTTTGACCTAATGGTTTTTTGGATGAGCATGTCGGTGTGGGGATCGACATTAGCCGTTGCCTCATCCAACACGAGTATTTTGTTGTTCCTGAGAATAGCTCTAGCTAGACAAACCAATTGTCTCTGTCCAACACTGAAATTGCCGCCTTTGTCCACGACTTTGCTGTGAAGACCGTCCACTTCTTTGATCACCGATTCCTTCAATTCGACTTGTTCCAGGGCCGTCCAAAGGGCAGCATCAGTGAAATCCTCGAAGGGATCTAAATTCTTTCTCAGTGTACCCGAGAACAGCACCGGCTCCTGCGGAATTATAGCAATGTTCCGTCTTAAATTCTCTAAACTAACCTTAGCAGTATCAACTCCATCGATTTCAATGATTCCTTCAACCTTCATCAGTCGAAAGAGGGCTGATATCATTGACGATTTTCCAGCACCTGTGCGTCCAACAATTCCGACTTTCTCCTGTGGTTTTACCACAAAATTTAGATCTTTTAAAACAGGAGGTGCATCGTCGCTGTACGTCATGAAGACATGCTTGAAAACGATGGACCCTTCGCTCGGCCAATCGACAGTTTTCGAATTCGATCTGTCGATTCCACTCTCCTGCTTGGTGATTCTCTTAGGAGAATCAATTGGGCCTGATGTATTCTCTGGAATCAATGACGAATACTGCAGAACCCGCTCAACAGACATCATTTGATTAAGCACTTCAGCGTATTGACGAACCCCCCATTGCAGCAAACTCGTTATCGATGTAATCGAGGTGATGGCAAGTCCCACTTCGGGCCCACCGTATCCACTGGCAAGCAGCAATCCAAACGTCACGATGATCGTCAAAACCCAGCAAAAAACATCAAGAGCAAATCCAAATGCAGAACTGGTTGCTATGAACATGTACCAGGCTGAGCTGTGACCGTCCTGAAACCGATCAAATTCCATTCTCAACAGCTCCTGAGCGTTGAATGCTCTGATTGTCGTTAAACCACTCATCGTCACATTGAGGTGAGTAAATACTGGTGCATTCATCACAGCCTCCAATCTCTTGAGGCTTTTACTCGTTCTCACGTACACTTTGGCGATCCAGTAAAGTACGTACGTGATAACGATGAATGGAGCTATGAAAATTGGATTGATATTGCACGTTATTACGATAACACCGCAGGTTATCATCATGGCGATTGCAGCATCCTGCAGAGTTTTCGGTAAAAGATCGTCGATTGCGTCGATGTCCTTTGAGAATCTGTTGAGTATTCGGCCGCTTGGATTTTTACTGAAGAACTCCATGCCACTTCTTATCAGGGCGCTGAAGGCATTGTCGTGCAAGCACTGACTCGATTTCATACACGTCATGTAGAAGAGGATCGATTGGGCCATGCCGAACAGAAATATTGAGAAGGTTATCCCCGTGTACGTGTAGATACCTGTGTAGGCGGGTTCAATGTCGTATTCGTTGATGTAATTAGAATTAGAATTCTTCAGCTTAATGAATTCGTTGTAGCGATTCTCTTCGGCACTCACTAATTGTGGAAAGAACATGTCATAAGCTGTCACTGCGCATTGGGTTGCAACCAAAAGGATTGACACTATCACTGGTAAAATCCAGTTGCTGCTGCTCTTCAGGTAGTTTATGAAAATTGAACCTGCTACACTCCCTCGTGATGTCTTCTCAAGGGCGTTTGACAGGTGCATCCCATTTTCATCGTCTTCGGATGCTGCATCATCACCTGGTGCATCAGTAAATGGAGCAGCAGCTGTTGCTGTTGGGACAGATGTTTTTCTTTCGGCGTCATCGGGATTACTATTGTCAGGATCAGATTCCGAATTGCAGGCTCCGAGATTTGAATATTCTGGACGTGCAGCGAGGAGTTCATCGTAATTTATGAATTTCTCAAGTTTACCGTTCTCCACCAAGAGAATCTCGTTGGATCCACTGATATATTGCAACTGATGAGTCACTAGGACTCTCGTTGTCCCTTTCAAATACTTCTCGATGCACTCTTCAAACAGGTACTTGCCGACTTGGGTATCGACAGCGCTCAATGGATCATCGAAAATATAAATACTCGATCTTCGATAGACAGATCTTGCTAGATTTATTCTAGCCTTCTGTCCACCTGATAAGGATGTGCCGCGTTCACCGAGAGTCGTCTGATCTCCAAGGGGGAATTGAGCGAAATCACTGGATAACGCACAGACTCTCACAACTTCCTCGTACCTTTGAGGATCGTATGACTGCCCGAAGAGGATATTCTGGCGAACCGTTGAGCCAAATATCCAGGCTTCCTGACTCGCATAGCTGATGCTTCCGTTGATATCTACATGACCTTCAGTGATGAGCATTTCACCGAGAATCGCTGATATCAGAGAACTTTTACCCGAGCCAACAGCCCCAATTACCAGGTAAACTTTTCCTTTTTCAATTTCACAGTTAACATCTTGTAAAGTATTTTCCGTTGACTTTTCGTCCCATTTTGATGATAAATTCACTAGCTTTATGGGAATACTTGTTTTATCCTCAGGTACATACTTCTCACATCTGTCCCGATTTGAAATCTTCCCAATCAATCCCTCCGGAGGTATTTTATCAATCTCCCTATCAACCTCAGTGACTCCCGTCTTCGATATTCGTTTGGACATTATCGCTTTCTGCGAGCTCCAACTGATATCCGTCTGAAATTCCTTATTGGCTAGAAAACCCTCCAATCGTTTCACTGTAACGAGACATTGGGCTATCTCTGATATCCCCCGTGAGAACATAAACCCCATCACTTCAGCGAGAACTGAAAAGTACGCGAAGAACACGAACACCTTCTCCGTTGACAATTGCTGGCCAAACAAAATCATACCGACTAGAGTGCAGTACAGAGCGGTGCGCGGTACAAATAGATAAAGTGTCATGAAGGCTCCATGAATCCACGAATTTTTTCGGATAATGTTGAGCTCCAGTTTACGAATTTGCGCTATCTTCTGGCAAAATGGCTTCTCCCAGGCGTACATCTTTATCACTTGAACACCAGATATTATCTCATTCATAACACGCACCCGTTCATCTGTCTTGACTGTAGTTTCCAGGCGGAATTTTGCTGACAGCTTGCCGGTGTAAGCTGGAGAAAACATATATTGAATAAATGAAATCATAATTATAGCCTTGGAGGAAGATGAATTTTTGGAATTGGATTTACATTGGATTGGTACGATGATGGATATTACTGCGATACCGATGAGACCACTGTAGCCAGCCTCTGTCCATAAAAAATATCCAACGATAATCGATGCTAAGGGGGCTGACCATAAATAGTGAATGAACACCAGTATGAAATCAAATCGATTGACATCATTGGCGAGGAGATTAACTATCTTTCCGGGTGTTGTTTCACTCAAGCTTGTGACATTGAGGCGCAGTGCCTTTCGGTATACCAATGAACAAACAGCAATGTGAATTCTCCCACCAAGGTGAAACACTTGAAACAGCCAGTGATTAGCTGCAATTGCAAATAATGCCGTTGCACCGCACACCCCACCAGCGTACATCAATGTCTCATTGTAGCTGATTTTTCGATCCTCACGGAAATAGCTCAGCAATTGGCCAATCAGCATTGGGGTTCCTAATCTGGTATGCAGGGTAAATCGCTCATTACATATTTGATCGGTATTAAAAAATCGTTGTGCAAATATTTGGAATCATTTACCGGAGTAGAAATTCATTTGTGATCTGCAGAACTCCCAGCCAGATCAGCTCCCACATGAAACATCTTACTAATACTTTTGTTAGACTCGGCGGTCGTGAATGCTTCGATACATTCTTCAGCTCTTGGTTCCAACACCTATTTTTTTTTTCATTTAAGATTCATGAAAATATCATGGATTAAAATATTTGAATGATTGTGGCAATTAACGACAATTATTCAAATTTTATTTTATATATTTTCATTGACATTTTGAATTAATCGATTTACTTCTCTAGTCGATCCCCTAGTACAGTTGCTTGATCGTATGATGGTGGATCGTACAGATCCTCTTTTCCCAGAATTTTTGTGTAGCCCAATTTGAAGAATCGTATTGTCCACCTTCATCGGACAATAAAAATTTATAAAAATTATATTAATAATACTATTCAGCACTGTTATGCAGAAAATTGTCCGGTAATCACTCACGTCCAGAATAAAACTCCAAAGAAATTACTGGATTCTCGAGGATTCGGATAACTAGATTTTTTTGGATCAGCCATTGCGATCGATCACTCGATACAGAATTTATATAATAAACTTTATTCACTGTTATCAACAACTAATGCTTCTGTGATCACCACTTCACGGAAATGAAATTTGTTGCTTGTCAATGCTCCACTATCAGGTGACGATTGCCCTGAAAAATATTATAATACCTCGTGGAACAGATAGAATCTCTAGCTAACGATTGAAGTAAAGAATAGAGATAACGAATGATTATGTATTCAAAACTACACATGCTGAGAAGGATTATTTTTAACCGATAATTCGGTAACATGAGGTCATCGACCCCCCCCATTATTATTCCATAGTACTAAATACAAATACAATATTTTGGGGAATTCATTTCTGTCTAATAATTCCATTAGCCTAATTTTTTTATCGGCGTAGCGTTTTTAATTTTTTCTTTACGTTGCCTGTACTTTATTTTGTGATTTATTTGTGGAAAGAATTCAATACGCAATCGGTGAATCCTACTATGTTCAATGATTCTAGTATTCACACGATTTAATGGGGCTCGAACGGTCGTGTGATGATCGGAATTCGTGATTAATGCGAATGAAAGTTCATTCATTCTCAGTGAAGTATTTTTTTTATAACATACTTCGAGAATTTCTGATTTGAAATATGGAATTGCGCTTTTGTGGTTCACTCGCGGTGACTGGCACGAAATCTCAGAGAAGACTGAACACTTCAAACGTCTCGACAATTCATAAGTGTAAAATACACATACATCTTGACGGGCACATAACAAACATTCTGAGAGGAACATCTGTCCTCAGACACGTGGCGGGTTAATTAATGATGATTAAATCAGGTCCCACAGGGCCAGAGGAATTTTAATTTCCGTACTTTCATGACGAAATTCTAAAAGTCAAGGCCCTCTTTCTCGATAGGAAATTCCTCACATCGGAGATCATTCGCCTTCAAAAACAATAATCCCCTTCCCTTAATTTTTTTAATGAAAATATTTTTAGTTACACGTGAGCATGAGTAACGCATATTTTATGTACAGTGAGGAATTTTCATTCTTCAAGTCGATATGGTAACCTAGAAGGAAGGAACAAAGAATATGAAACGTATTCTTTATTTTGCCATCGGTTTGTTAACAATTGTTTGAGATATCGCGGTCTTTTGAGTTTTTTTTTTCAACGCGGAAGTCTACGACTCCCAATGCAAATGTCAGCCATGTTGTCCTTTGTTGCGTGATATTTTTACTAATTTCTATGATTCCTCTCGACCCGCATCTTTGACTAACTCATACTTCTCTATTGACCTGATAGGCCTTAGAAACTTGTTGATCCACTACAATTACAGAATTGATTGATACTGATGCGAGAATTCCTCGCGTCTCCATTGACGCTAGCCCAATCACAACATATCGCTATTTTTCCTTGAATTATCGTTATCGTTGACATTGAGTTTTTCAATTAATTGGCCATGAATAACCGTGAGAGCCGTTGAAGATGATTTTCTTCCAATCCCCGATGATCCGCTCCATCCACAGACGATCATAATTTATGAAGAGAAAAAAAACAAAAATACTTCATGAAAATTTTTTTTTTCTTCCATGAAATTAATTCACCTGTAAAAATCCAACATCTCTTCAATTTTTCTGCTATCATGATAACAATTGGAGAAAATTTGAGAAAAGTTTACAGTGTATTTTGATAAAATTTGAATAAAATTTTTTGTAACCGGATAACAGAATAATTGAGGAGTGATACGACGTCGCCATTTTGTCGGGCGCCTTGTCCGCGTTAAAAATGGCGATAACCATCGTAAAAATGCGCACATCAGTTTCTGGTATCGATATTATTCACCGATGATACACGAGAATTTCCAGTAACAGATTTCTACTTCACCAGAAAGACTCGTACATATTCCCTTCAATTTGTATCTGTCAGGTACCGCCACATGAATCAGAATACCAGGTAATATAAATAACAATTTTATTTAATAATTGCAATTTCCAATTGTTTTCCCTCGCTGGAGTGCATACGAACTGTCATTCCAAGAATTATTACTTTATTTTTACAAAAGATACATTAATGGCTCTTTTTACAACTTAAAAAAAAAACAGATACTCATTGCGTGCTTATGTTATGTACAAATTGCAGTTAAAACCGATGTTAAAAAATATAATTTACAATTTAGAGCGTTATTCCATGATCCAAGCGTGTCGGATTCTTTCATAACATTACGATGACACAATTGGAATAAAAATCCTATTGCATAAATTTGGTTTACACGCGTAATTTTCAATGAAATGACCAATTGATTTTTTTTTTATCGAGTATTCGTGAATATAATACGATTTTTAGAATATACATAAGGTATTATTGCTTCGCATGCAATCATCCAAGGATCTGGTAATTTCAATAAATCAATGAATCCTCAAAAAAATGGCAGAACAAGGGCGGTCCCTATTTTTTAATATCAATTTTAATTATTAATTTTATCATTAGCGATCCTTGGAATGCGAGTCGAATGGACATTGCATCGTCGTCCCATAGCCTTATATAGATCCTCTAACTTTCTAAAATTAAAAATTAAAGCAAAAGTTGTGAATGTTATCCAATTCGCGGGGTGATAATCAACAATTTAATAACGATTATGATACACTGAGGGATTATTTCACACGCCAAGACAACTGGGAACTCGCAGTGAGTCATTGAGATATTATTATTTTTGAGGTTTTATCAAAATATTATGATCAACAGTCGGGAGAGTGTGCGGTTACTCCCTCGCCATTTTTACGATTTATTTTCAAAACATCCTGATAAGTCTGAGCCAATCACAAAATATTCGGCCTCGATCTAACCTAATCTGCAAAATCGACTCCTCCCAGTCGACAAATGGAGGATTAAATTCCAGATTCTTGTCGCCATGATCTAAAAATTAGTCTCAAGGACGGATTATTTTCTATTTATTATCATAATTTATGAAGGCCAGACTCGAATAGATTTTAGCTTTTTTATCTATTCAATCTGACCTGAGCAATGCATAAAAATAATGGAATGAGGAATTAATTAAAAATTATATGCACGCGAGTTCCCAGTTATTTCCATTTTCTTCCACGAATCATTGATAAAAGGAGAAGTTAATCTAGAAATTATTCGTTAGATCGACGTAAAAATACTGAATATTCTTCGTATTCCTTCGATAAATTCGGTCCGTCAAATTGGAATCAATTGTCATGGCAGTTTCGAAGAAATTATCAAAATTTCCATCCTCTGAATTTTCACCTCGTCCGCCTGATTCGAATAATTTATTTATGCCTGCGATTGTGATGTTGATACTAAGCTCCTGGGTTTGATCATCATCGTGGCCTTCTTCAAGGTGTAATCCCACCCTCTCCAGCGGAACCAGACGATTCCTGTGATTATTTATTTAAAAAAAATACAATGGAATCATTGAATTCTGGATTTTAGGGACTCGTAATATCATCCATTTACCTTGCCGAGCAGTTAGATCCTGAGGATCATGGAGATAGAGTCCATTGAGTCCTCTTCCACAGGATTTCCACCACCAGCCGCCCTTCAGCATCGATGCGCAATTCAAAGACGATCGATCGTTATCCCTGAAGGAAAAATAATGAAAATTCAAATGGAAACATGTCAAATCTCTCTCCAATATTTCTCTCAATAATCCATAACCTTGAGAAATTTTACAACTGACAATGCAATGGCATTCCCCCATAAATCATCTGTTAAATAGTTACAACGCAACGAATTCCGAGTACATAAAATTAGCAATGGCACAACAGTAGCGATAAATCGATGGGATTTAAACGAAACATTTATGCGAGTCTATTATCCCATACACTGGAGACCTGGGAATTGAGACTTCATGTACAATAGATAGAACTCTGGTCTGTCAGCCACGAATTATTACGTTTTACACTGTGGATTATCACAACAATGCCCCAAGTAGCTGAAAAAAAAAGGTCTTGCATATATTTCCCCCTGTCAGTACTTTCTTCATTGCGTAATGAGCCTGGAGGACGTCCTATAATTTCTCCAACCCCGGAAGCCAGACTAAGTCCTGGGGAATTGATTCTTTCGAATCAATAGTCCAATCCGATGTTCCATTATTGAATAACAAATAAAATAATAAATTCTTACCTGTTGTAGGTGGAGAAGGGACTGTTGTTGGAGCCATACCAAGGATCATTCAATGAATCACCAGCATTTCCCTCGTACCCGTCAATCTCTAGCTTGTAATAGTCTCCCTCTGAGTATATTTTGAAATGGGAGTACTGCGCGTACCTGAGGTCATGAATTTAAAAAGATGGGGATAAGTACTTTGTCGTTTTGGTTGATAATCAATGCGTGGGAAAATTTTATTGGCTCATTGTATTCATTTTTTAATCTTGCAAATTGTATCACACACGATGATTCCACCCCGAGTGGGGAAAGTATAATCACTGGTGACTTTCGAGCCTCGTATAAGTGACTCCAGGCGATGAATCCATCGTCACACATATACATGCCTCAAACAACCCAAAAATAAAGATAAAAATAATCGGTTTCACGTGTAACACAGACTGGCGTTTCGCATGCTACGATCTCATTTATCAAAAACCTGATCTCTGGCTGTGTTATTTATGTAATAAAGGCCTCCTTCGTTCACAACTTCACCACCTTCCTGGATTCAATGCTTTTCAATTCTTTATCATTACCGATTGTCCGTGCAGCGCCAAATAACTAGAGTAAAAATCTTTCTCTTTACCTTTTATTGCCTTCGAAATCTTCCAGCTCGACTCGCAATGAATAATCCTCATTGTTCGTTAACATGTAGATATTCTCATTCCCTAGCCAGAATTCTCTCGCAGGATCACCAAATCCATTTTTGTAATCAGCCCAGTCTCGATTAAAATTTTCTCTCGGCTCTCCAAAGTCATCGCGTCTTTGAATCACCTGGAAATTTCATTGGCCAATAGTAGAAACTTTGTCTAAAAAGATCTAGGTCACTCGATAATCGCCACTAATTTCGGATGCTGCGGATTCCTCGGGATAAAAAAAATTGTCATCGGATATATTTTTTCAAAATTTTCAAAAAATTTCTGGGAAACTTTTCAGATTTTTTATTTGAAACATTTTTTTTTGATGTTTTGACAAATTCTTTTGAAAAAATAATAATAATTTTTAAAAGGAGACGAAGATATTCTGCGGTAGGTAACTATTTCACCTAGGCAAATATTTTTTTTCTTACGCATTATTACGCGAATAACCTTCGGACAAGTTATATCCCACTGCGTTCCACAAAATGCAAAAATCCCTTTCACCGATATACTTTTCCAACTGCGGTATATCAAAGTAGAACGATTACGTTTTTTCAATGAATGGAAATACATGACAATCAGTTGCAATAATATAAAGCCCTACGTCCTCATTAATTAATAAATTAATCCCTCCAGGAGAGATTTCAAATTTAATTCCATATTTTACCAGCAGAAAAATAATTAAAAATTCCATTTTGTAACGCGAAAAAAAAAATGACACAATTTCACCCACACCTTGTACTCGTTGAGAAATATCTCGCTGTACACTTGACAATTACATGAATAATGCCACTAGAAATAACAACAATCGTACTTTCAAGGTTGTCGAATACTCGTTAAAAAAGATAATCTGTTCCCAATTAATTTTTTTATTTATCCGATGACTTATCGACATAAATATTCATCCCAGGATTCGATGGTCGATAAACCGTGTAGTTATTTAAATAAATAAAATGATAATTCGGAAAAATTACCGTCCATCCTCCCTCAGCGATTTCTTGCTCACAGAAGACTTTCAGGAACCAATAAGTCGTACCTCGGATTTGAAGATAATACACACCACTCTCCCTCATTCCTGCATTGAGTAAATCAACGCAAGAGTATCCCTGAGAAAAATAATAAATATCTAACAATTATTACTAAAATAGAAAGACATCACGAGGAATTTTATAATTTTCCTACTGCAGTTCAATCCACTGACATATCAATTCTGACAATTAAATCTTATCGGGTGGAAGGGAAATGACGTACGAGATAAGAATCGAAGAGCGGCATAAAACGTAAAGGGGAATATAAATTTTAGTAACTGTGTGTAAAGAGGAGTCTCGGACACGTGATATCGAAGTCGATCGACACGCGCGGAAATTTTGCGGTCAGATACAAAGTCATGCCCATGGGTATATGTTTATTAAGAATATAAATAAATAAACGGAAAACATGCCGCCCTCCGGCTCTTTCTCACACGACACAATCCAGAAAAACCGAAGAAACATCTTTTTATTATTTATTTTCATAAATTCCCAGGGCAATATTGACTCCAGGCGAAATTTCTATTTTCTCATCAATCTTTTTGGCTTCACCTCCATCATTTTGTCATTTTGTCTGATCTGTCAATGAATCTATTGATAACATAAATGTCTCTATACTTTTTTTTATTGGAAAATAAACGGTTTATTGGTTCTACTGTTGTGACCAGAAGGCAAAATTCCCGGAGTGACAGGTACCGTCATGACTTTCTCCATTAGGACGTCAGAAAAAATTGATGGGTATGAAGAATGACAATACGTCACTATCGCAAGAAGAAAAATCGATGAAATTCAACGGAAGCTGCTGTCCAGTGATATTCAAGAATTTTTCAAAATAATTCTTTATATAAATTATAGACTCTATTCCCACAAAACTTTCGACTTTTTGATTTCACTCCGGAGATCCATGAAAAATTATTCATCGCCACAGAAAAATTGATCATTTACAAGATTAATACCCAATAATTTTTATTTTCAACTGATTAATTATCCGAATTCCCCCGATTTTTTTAATTGATGGCTTTTTTCAATAAATCGTTTATATGAATTAAAGAGCCGTTCTCATTAATTTTTTTAATACTCTAAATATTTTCCAGCGATCAGTTGCAAAATTATAGATAAAAAAATGAAAAAATGAGTGTAAAAAATGAAAAAGAGGATTTTTCGAGTGCAGTTGACGGTTTTATCGTTAAATTGATCCACAAACATTTTATTCAAGCCCTCGATATGAAATGAAAGTTGGCATTTTGAATCACACATCGACATTGATAAATTACCCTGGAATAATGTTTCTTCAAATTTAATTGGCAAAAGTGCATATCGCTGGGTAAAAATGATGATATAGAAGGAAAATTATAAAGCATCATGCCGAATATATTGGATATATTTGGTGGGGGGTTGCGTATCGTTTGAGATGCTGTTTGTGAGTTCTGTAACGAGTGAAAATTCAACATGAAAGGCCGTGGTACCGACCGCCGGCTTCTATAATCTTTCCACTCTGTCTCATTCTCTCTCCTCTCTTTATCTTTTTTTCCCCCTTTTCTCATTACCTCATATACAATCTCAATGCACGCACCGTCTGTCCGACATGAACGCGGCTATGTACTCGCGCACATATTAATTCACTTGGGCAATTACTGCAGTCATAACTCATATTCATAAGGATCATGTACATGAAATTTTCAGTACGAGAGTAGCCAAGCATTTCATGGCGAGTCAAGTCAATTTTTTGAAATATTTATTCAACTTTACTCGCTATTTTAATCAGCAAATCTTTTTTCCATTACCAAAATTTATTAACAACAAGTAATTGGAAAATAATTGTGATTGTCGTGGTGATCGAGATGGACGAATGGAATTATCGTAATCTCACTTACCCTGACGTCCTTGTAATTAACCAGAACGGAGTCAGTGGTGAAGGTGGAATTTGCTGGACTCGGTTTATTCTTCACACTGGGAAATATGACACCCCGATTGCGCGTTGCTGACCGCTGGGATGGTGTACCAGGAGTGGGTGTTGAGGTCGATGAGCTGGATGAGGTGGGTGGACTCATGGGGCTCGTGGCAGGTGGATTAACCGAGGATGATGCCTGGAGTGAAGCTGTTGTTGGTAAAGGTGTTGTTGTCGTTGATGGAGGTACAGTCTCAGTTGTGTATTCCTCATTCAAAGCGATATAACTACAAAAAAAAAATATAATGACCGATAAAACCGATTGATTAATCGAATCCATCATTGATGACAGCAATTAAAATCCTGATGGTTTAATTTGTACGATTTCCTGCATCATTAGATAAAAATAAAATTGATAAATTGACTCACCGACTTGGATCATATTCAACGAGTCGATCAATCGTTGGATCCAGCAGCAGCTCAGCTGGAATCGGTCTCTGGGCAAGATTTGCAACGTCATCCTCTTGCTTCTTGAGTCTACTTTCCACTCCCTCGAGATTCTCAATTATCTTGTTAGTCTTGGATCTCAGATCCGCGCCTATCTCATTAATCGCTCTCTCCTGGCGTTGGGTCTGCGTCAGCAATGCATCCGATTTTGGGAGGAGATGATCAACCGAGCTCTTGGTACCCACCTGCGCATTCCAGTGTTACGGTATTACGAGGAATCATAAATGACTAATAAATGAATAATAAATTAATAATAAATGAGATAAAATTAATTGAAATACTAACAACAACGTTCCAGACTTGATCCATCTTCTCAGAAACAGTGAGCATGGGATGAATCTTCTCGACGAGTCGATCGATCTTACTCCTCCTGGTTACCTCAGGTGATTGAGTGCTCGTTGTCGTCTGATTCTGAGCTGACACCTGGCTCTTGTCCACTATCGCCTCGTGGATATCCTTCGTCAATGTGTAAACGGTCCCCAGAGTGTCAGCCACCAAATTCATGTGAAACTGGAGTTTACGATCGACATTACCCGTTGCCTGGCGCAAATTCTCAATCTCAATTGATACGTGATTCATCACCTCGTTGCTCATTGCTTTAGTTATCTCAATGACATTCATGCTTATTGGCTTTTTTTCGCTGGCCTCTGCATTGATGTCATCGCTCGGTAGAAAATTATTGTCGAGCTGATTCTTCAGGTTCACGAGCTTGTCGTCAATGTCGGAGACCTTTTGATCCAGGGACAGGAGTTTTTCACCGAGATACTCGGGATTCGGTGAGTCGTGGTGAATCAGACGAATTACGGGAACTAAATTTTTTTTTTCGCTTAATTAGTCCTCATTAACGCATATTTATCTTGCTATTTAATTAGAGACTGCATTATTGTCGCTAATTGGATTAGCCTTTTTTATTTTTGGGATAAAAATGGGGAGAATGAAGGAATAATTACCTGCGTCCTCTTCGTCATTACCGGTACTGCTGTCTGCTGATCTTGCACTGTGTCCCAGCACTTCCGGTGGAAGTGTTGGCTGCGTGTGGAACAGCTTCAGGTCCAAGGTCCTCAATTTCGTGATAACTGCATCGGTCTTATCGATATTGTCATTAACCCGCGAATCGAGGGCCTCTACCCTTCTCATCAAGTGCTCCACAGCCTTGTCCAGGTTCTCGATTCGCTGGAGTTTCGACTCCAGGGTCGATACTATCACCTCGAATACATTGAATAAATACTGCTCCCTGCATAACAAAACAATTGCACAAATTAACTGGCAATTCCAATTGTTCATTGCGATGTGATCGTTTTGATAATTAGTCCGTTCCTTTGATATTCACGAATGAAAGTGAAATTTCGGCTATTACCTAACGGACACTGGGAGCTGAACCAGTTCATTCGGTTGAGTGCGGTGGCCCCAGGAGATGTAATGAGGAGAAAAAAAAAATGGCAAAGGAGAACTGGGCGGAGTTGAGGGGAGAGTGAGTGGATGTATGAATGGAATGTTTGGGAACAGTTCTTATCTAACTCCATGTAATCAATTCTTCCAGTCTACAATTAATCCATCATTCGGTTTTTTTGAGGGATCGATTGGCAAATGCAATTGGCAAATGCAATTGCCAAATTACGTAATAATATTTTTATCGGTTTTCAATTTAAATAAATCATATAAAATAATATATAAAATATAAAATGATTTGGGAAATGCAAGGAGTAAGTGGTTTTAAATGAAATCTTCGGATTTTATTTAGACAGACAAACAGTAGCACTGGAGGATAAACTGGAGAAGTAATAAGACGAGAAAGTACACGACCCGCGAACCCGCGAGCTCACGACGGTCACGCGACATCCACGACCTCAATCAATTATCAAACAACCCACCTATTCAACAATTTATCGACCTATTAAACAGCTCGATCGATGAAATCGATGATTTTTATAATTACGCGTTAGCTTTTCTCACGTTAATCACCGATTGTCCCACGCAAATAAATTCATTCCCAAAAATCAATCCAAAAATAAATGACGTAAGCCCGTGGATAAATTAAATAGACAAAATATATTGAAATATTAATGAAATAACAATTAGTGGTAATTAACATTTAGTCAAAATGGAGAGGCTTGATTTTTAATTAACAGTTGAATCCTTGATGATGCAATAAATGTCCGTTATTATTCTGTGAATTGGTGGAAGGAGATTATTCATCCGTTAATTATTCACTTTGTTCATTGGTGTCACTGAACCCCAGGGATTAACTCAAGAAATATATAGCCTCGTTAATTTAGCATTCGGTGAGACGTAAGCAGGTTAACACTTGAGTATTTATCTCTCACTTTATTTTTTTTTTATAACTTCCAGTGTTTATGGTAATTTGAACAGGACTTTTTGTTCCCACGAAAATTACCAGGCATCTTAGGTGGGATTTATCTGTGGTCCATTGCCAAGGTAGATTGAAGGAATTGTTAGAGACCGACAGAATTCTCGAGGCTCAACCGAGCGTAAATATCTTTAAACCAATGATTTTAACCATTACCTTGTTTTCATATGGTTAAATTCATTGCACTGTACGTTACTTACAGTTGTGATCCATTACGTTTGTATTTAAATGCGCCAAGCAATTTATTCAGTGTTGTGCATAAATTATTTTTATGCTTGAAAAATTTGTGAAAATTTCCTCATTGAATTATTATTGGATTATTATATATTTTTTGCTGAGGTAAAAATCGTTTTCCTCGCTGCGTAATGGTCGAGTGAATTAAAGTGCTCGACTCATTAGAAACTGCAATTCAAATTTATTTTATGATAACGCAGTTGTTGGTGGAAATTAAGTCGAGGACTATTGCTCAGACCTCCCATGACGAGTCGTAAGACACCGAAGGACATTTAAAATAATCCAAGCTTTACAATTAATTGAATCATTTAAATTTTGGTGGCAACAGGTGAATTGAAATATTAAATCGGAAAAAAATTGAGAAAAAAAGATGAAATCAAAAATTAAATGTTTTTTATCTCTAAATTTCGTTTTATTTCAGTCGGGATTGGATCGCCGTGACGAAAGAGAGAGGCAAAAAAGGAATTTTACGACAGCGAGAATGAACATGAATCGACAATGAATATTTCTAATGAATAAATTGAACGTCGAGAATTCCTCCTGCAATTCCATACGTATCTTGCCTTTTTCCGTTTCCCGTCACTCCCGATGATACGGTAAACTTGTAATTCCACATTAAACAAGTATTTACCCACCAGTGCTTCCATGAAAGTAAACATTTACTTCTTGTGTCATGTAATCGACTCGATCCGTCATTTTTTCCCCTCATGAACGTCAAATTATCCCTTTCCCCGATAAAAATTCTAAATAAAAAAATTCCAGAGTTCCAAAAAATCATCCAAAAGATTACTGTTATCATTTCAATCATTATGATTATCGGAATTAATTGAGGAATTAAAAAATTCATGCATTAACGAATAAACGAAATATCCAGGAGTTTATAGTTATTTTCTCTCTTATTCAGACATCAGTAATTTTATCTCAAGTCGTTAAAGAAATTCTATACGCTATCTTGAAGAGTCTGGTGTCCACGACGAGCCGATGGAATAATTCAACGATTTCTTTTTTTTTTATTCCATGAGAAATATCAGCGTCCAGCTGTCTGTACATAATCGCTGGCCGATGAACCCGAGGTCCACCCACGGGATCTCATCCTCAGTCAATGGAGTTTTTAGGTCAATAGGTGAAAATGATGAATTGATAATTTTGGGGGGGAAATATGGGAGGGAAAATGATAAGTGCGAGGCATCTGCTTGATTAAATCGTTGAACGTGATATTTCTTTCGTTGAATTAAAATATTAGCAGTTGCAACCACAAACGACATGTTGTGGTTTATGTATTAAATTTTGTATATAAAATAATAAAGGCACTTTCACTGGGAATATATGTACCACTTCCGCTTGACTCCAGTAAATCACGATTAGACCTGCACGACTGCCTTCCAGCAGATGTCAAATGAAAAACCCACACTCCTGCAACCGTTACTTTACAAATGTATCGAATTACGGTTTTTATCTGAAATATTTATTTACGATTGCTCCAGTCGCTGTGAAATTCCGGCCAACAGCCACGAAGATTCATCCCAATCTGTTTATTTTCTCTCGTATTAAATGAAATGTAATAAAATATTGAAGTAACGACTATTTTTATCAATTGGCTTGAGCAAATCATCAATTTCTCCTCAAGATTTTCTCGATCGCGCTACGATAGTTTATCAGGTCGTTTGCAAAATAGTTTGAGAGAAAAAAAAACAGGAGGTGGTGAAAAAATAAATGTTAACCACGAGACTTTCTCGAGTTGTTATTGTGTGTGGGTTGGATGTTAATGTTTAATACTGGTCTAGCTTTTGATTGGAGATATTGCCAATTGCCCATGGGAAAGTCCTTGAATATTTGGTTTGTCATGCGAGGAATATTATCAATCCCTGATGGTCTAGAGATGGTGATTAGGCAGATTTTATTCCTTAGAAAGTTGATATTCGATAACTCCCCAGAATTATCAAAAAATAAATGATTGCCTCAAATTCAAAATCATCATCATATCCCAATATATTTCTAAAAAATTATAAAATAATTATAAAATAATAAAATTGCATGTGTTACTGGAAGCCGTGACTAAATAAGGAATTTGTAATTAAAAAAGGTACGATAAATTTTATTCCAACTAAGCACCCATAAAAATAAGAAAGTTTGCTACTAGCCTTTTTTAGTCATCTCGTCTGATACGAATCAGAAACTGATTGGCTATATTATCCGACGCTATTTCCTCGATTGTACTTCAACCAACAATTAACCAAAAAACAAAGACTCATCCTGCCAATAAAAAATTCAATGAAAATCACTCGACCATCGGGTGCCAGTCCCCGAGGGACTCAAATGCCATAAAAAACGGGTAAAACATTATAAAAATTACGAACGAGCATAAAATTAATAAATTCCTTACTACAATTATGATAAATAGTCATGGAAATGGTTTGCGAAATTCACTTTATGATGATGTCCACGAAAATATTTGATTATCGTGATTAATCGACGAATTCATCGATAATGAGATGATTCGGCCAGTAAAAATCACTTAGGCGTCGAATTAGAGATTTCTCATTGGAAAATCACGAGAAACTCCGAGGAAGTACTGTAATAAAACCAAAATAAATGCGTATGAAATACCGTGTGGAGACCGGTTTCGTGTACACCCAACAGACTTGCCTTTTTCGATCCTCAAGACACTATTACAAATGCTTCCGTTGAGAATTATAGAATTTTTTTTTTTCCTGTGCGCTTGTAACTTCAGACTCCGTCATTACGCCCCTCTGCTTCTTGCTGGTCAATAATAACTGACCTTTTTCGGAAAGGAATCACTCAAAAAATTGGCAAATACTGTGCAAGGTCAAAGGTACTTGTTTTTTGACTGCAATTACACCCATGCCCTCGGTGTAAAGAGCATTTCGCAAGGAAACCTCTGATATTTTTTTTTATGGCTATCTCAAATTATTTTATTACTCAGAATTGTTCATATTTTTTTTTAATGGCACTGAATAAAATAGACGCGTATATTGGTGTCCATTCTCAGGAATTAATCAAGGCCTCAGCCGTGATTAAGGTATGAGTTAATTGTTCCAATCAAGCCACCAATTCTTTTCGATAAAATTTCAGCGAAAACCGATTGTATAAGACTGTGATCCAGTGGCACAACCTTTTTTGCAGTTGATTTAGATGAAACACACCCGAGTCACAGCCTTAGATGGACGCCCGAGAAAATTTCCTCGTATCAGGGAAAGTATCGGAATTACAGGTGCAATCGTGGATTTGTAAACTCTCACAGCTGAGTTTTTGCCTCCAGTGTTACCCACACATAACACATCCAAAACAGCGCATTTCCGATTAAAAAAAAAAAACAAGATGAAATAATTGAGAGTGAGGAAAATATTCGAGACTTCCGTTATCTCCCGAAATTATTGAAACAGAGATCTAGTGACAGAGATCTATTGGCTATTTCTCTCTCAATCTCTCTTCCTCTCGTTTTGTTGTAATGAAAAATAATTTTATCAACTCGATAAATATATTACTCGATTATTGCAAGTGCATGACATAATACTGTACACCTGTAAAACTCGATTATGATCATTGTCGAGCAGTGATAAAAAGCAAAGTGTGTCGCATAAAGTTTCACTTGACTTTGAATCGTGCACAAG